ATATTTTATTCATCAGTTTATTTTGTTCATTAGATTCCTTATTTTTTGATTTTTAGATTCAATTGCTAAATATGTATTTATTGCCATTTTCATTTTATTGTTCATATTTTTGATTCCCCCCCCCCCTTTTCTTCTTCCTCTTCTTAAAGAATACTCTTCAACATTTCATGTAATATTGGTTTGGTGGTGATGAACTCCTATAGATTTTTCTTGTCTCTGAAGCTCTTTATCTGATTTTCAATTCTAAATGAGAGCTTTGCTGGGTAGAGTAATCTTGGTTGTAGGTCCTTGCTATTCATCACTTTGAATATTTCTTGCCACTCTATTCTGGCCATAAAGTTTCTGTTGAGACATCAGCTGACAGTTGTAGGGTACTCCCTTGTAGGTAACTAACTGCTTTTCTCTTGCTGCTCTTAAGATTCTCTCTTTGTCTTTAACCCTTGGCATTTTAATTATGATGTGTCTTGGTTTGGGCCTCTTTGGGTTCGTCTTGTTTGGGACTCTCTGCATTACTGAGCCAAACCAGGTAGAGCTATGTCATTATTTCTTCAAATAGGTTTTCAATATCTTGCTCTCTCTCATCTCCTTTGGCACCTCCATAATGTGAACGTTGGTACGCTTGAAGTTGTCCCAGAGACTCCTTATATTATCTTCATATTTTTGGATTATTTTTTCTTTTTGCTCTTCTGATTGAGTGTTTTTTTGCTCCCTCATATTCCAAATTGTTAATTTGATTCTCAAAATCCTCTCCTCTACTGTTGAATCCCTGTAAATTATTCTTTATTTCAGTTAATTATGCTTAATTTTTGACTGGTCCTTTTTCATATATTTGAAATTCTCACTAAGATTCTTGAAAGTCTCACTAAGTCCTTTGAAGCTCTCATGAAGATCCTTGAGTAACCTTATAAAACCATGGTTTTGAATTCTGTATCCAGTAGTTTTCTTGCTTTCATTTCTGACATTTTTCTTTGTCTCCACATTTTGGCTACTTCCCTATGTTTGTTCCCATGTGTTAGGTAGAGCTGCTATGACTCCCGGAATTGGTAGAGTGGCCTCTTATAGTAGGTGTCCTGTAGGGTCCAGTGGCTCAGCCTCTCCAGTCACCTGAGCTGGGCACTCTGGGTGCCCTGTGTGGGCTGTGTGCATAGTCTTTTAGTTGAGCCTTGATTGCTGTTGGCATCACTGGGAGGAACTGACCTCCAGGCTAATTGGCTGTGAGGACCAGCTGTGACTACAGTGGAAGAGCTGCTGTGCAGGAGACACCCTGTGGAGCAGGACTTGCTTCATTGGGGCTTGGTGCTCACTGAGTCTGCCCTTGAGTGTGTCACTGTGGATGTGTAGAGTTGTAATCTGGTATGGTCTGAAGCTGTCCATGAGGTGCACTGGCTCTGGGGCCTCCCGGGAGGTGCAAAGTAAGCCACTGCCAGAGGCCACCTGGCAGGAGCTACAGAGAGATCTACAGATTGCTGCTATTTGTATTGGGCTTGGAGGTGCCCAGGAGAGGCCACGCTGTGAAGCAAGTCAGATTGGTGCTAGTGCCGGATCTTGGGCCTCTTATTGATAGATTTGGGGCATGCTCTCACCAGCTGCAGCTTGTTTGAGAGATTTGGGAAAGTCTGAAACCTGAGCCAGGACAGGCCATTTGTATGTAAAAGCCTCTGCAGACGGCTTGGGTGGGGCAGGGTCTCAAGGAATCCAAAGTGTGGGCCAAGCTGATGGAAACTCAGATATGGCTGCCAGTCAGCTCTGCGACTGGGAAGGTTCCAGCACCAGAACAATGACCCCTGTGAGCACCTCCTTCTGGGAGAAAACTGCCTCCAGAGTTCTTGCCCTGATGCCAGACAATCTAGTTCTTCTCCAAGTGTCCCAGATTCCTTTCAAGCTGCTACCCCGGCACTGGAGCCCAAAGGGATCGAGTCTGAGTAAGTTCGTGTGGCAGCCCTTTAAGAGGAGCTGCCTGGGACTCCAGCAGCCTCCATGTCATTCAGCCACAATCTCCACTGGTTTTTACAGCCTGATGTTATGGGGACTTGTCTTTCCAGCTCTGGAACCCTGGGCTGGGGGGGCTGGTGTGGGGCTGGGACCCATTGCTCCTCATGGGCAGCTTCCGCAGAGATGATCTCACTCCCAATTAAAAACATGCCACATGTGGACGTCGGACCGGCCCGTTCCGTGCCTCCGCCCCTCCTACTAGTCTCAATGTTTCTTCTTCTTTAATTCTCTAGTTGTAGGACTTCATTTAGCTAGATTTCAGGTGGTTCTGAATCATGGTTGTTCTGTATTTTAGCTGTAATTTTGATGTGGTTGTGGGAGGAGGCGAGTACTGGCATTTACCTATGCTGCCATCTTTGGTCTGCTGCCTTTATTTGATCCTGAGGTGAGCATGGCTCGGGGATCGGCCTGCTTCTGATGAGTGAGGCAGTGTGGCTGCCAGACACCCTCGTCTATCCCAAGGACCCCCGCCTCCTCCTTGGAGTCCTTGGAGCCGCCCAAACTGGTTGTGCTGCGAGCTGGCCACTCTTGGGGATGTTGAGATGAGGAGTCTGCCTCGCCCTGAAGATGCTTGTCTTGAAGAAGAGGAGCTTATTCTGCTCCTTCTCTCAGCTCCGTGATTGAGGCCGATTCCTCCCATGTGGCAGGTTAGGGGTGTTGCGAGGACGGGCAGCACTGGCGGGTGCCCTGCCTCCATGCTTTTCTCCCTGGGTGCGTCACCGCCAGGTCCAGTGCCCTTCGTTCGGAGCAGTAAAGGCTCCTAACCCAGGCCACCTGTGACGTTTCACTTTTCTCCATACTCATCTGAATTCCTCCAGGGCCATCCACGTCTTGTTCATATTTAGGTCCCCAAAGTGGTGCTTGGCACATGAGTCTCAGTGAATGAATGTGTGGGTCTTGTCAGAACACATCAGTTAATATTTATGGAGCCGTCATGGTATGCTAGGCACAGTTGTAAGTTCTTTAGCTCCACGACTGTTGCTCATTTCATCTTCCCAATAATGCTATGAGGCAGGCCTCCTTCAATCCCTGTATTTTTGTTGTTGTTAAAATCCTTACCCAAGGATATTTTTCCATTGATTTTTAGAGAGAGTGGA